TGGCGGGGCATCTCTGCAGCCAGTGCTCCAAATCTTGGCGCTCCTCGCTGCACAATGGACAGATTGGGTCCGATGTTTTGTCTATTCTATTTGTGTAGGCCCGCAGCCCAGAGAAGTGCTGTTGTTGTAGTTGATGTTAGTGATGTTGGTTTTTTGTTGTTGTTGTTGTTGTTTTTGCTGTATGCGCTCGTTCATTTTTTTAAATTCTCTCTTTTCCCCTTTTTTTCTTGTCTAGTGTTCCGTGGAATGTGGTCGGGGTCACTATGTCCGCCAGGTCTACTGCTCGGCAGCTGATGGCTCGCCCCTGGCCGAGCACAAGTGTGGCGGGAAAGACAGCAAGCCAAAGGAGAAGAAGAAGTGCAAGAGCAGTAAGCCGTGTGGTGGTCTGTGGTTCGCGGGACCCTGGTCTAAGGTAAGCCTCAAACTGTCGTCGTCGTCGTCGTTGTTGATGATGGAGATGATGATGATGATGATGGTGTTGTTGTTGTTGTTATTGTTGTTTTTGTTGTTGTTGTTGTTGTTGTTGTTGTTGTTGTTGTTGTTGTTGATGGAGATGTTGTCGTTGTTTTTGTTGATGAAGAGCGTGCTTTTGTTGTTGTTCTTGTTGTTTTTGTTGGTGTTGTTGTTGTTGTTGCTGCTGCTGCTGTTGCTGTTATTGGTGTAGTTTTTTCTGTTGTTGGTGCTGTTGGTTTTGTTTTTTTATTTGTTTGTTTGTTTGGGGGTTTTTTGGGGGGGTTGTTTTTTGTTTTTTGTTTTATTGTTGTTGTTTGTGTTATTGCTGTTGTTTCTGATGCTGATGTTTTCTTTGTTATTGCTGTTATTGTTATTGTTTTTGTTGATATTGTTGTTGTTGTTGTTGTTGTTACTGCTGTAGATGTTAAAACTTAAAAGATTGAGAACCTCTACCGTGACCAACTAAAAGAGAATAACACACGAAGAAAAGGAGGAGAGATTAGGAGGATAGATATTCGATAGAAAAGAAGGAGTAAACCACACCGAGGCACAACAGTAATGTTCTTTGCTACACAATCTAAGAAAATGTTCGCTGCCTTTATAGTATATTCACAATAATTTCTCGAGGTTACGGTATAAAATTATTGTTTAAACGTGAGGGAATAACCTCTTGTTCAGTGAGAGGTGGTTTTTAAGTGGGTTTGTTTTTCTTTTCCTTTCTATTTTTTTATTGCATATTTTCGTTCGTCTGATGGATGCACTACATTAAACTGTCGATTCTTTCTTACAGTGCAACTCCACCTGTGGCTCTGATGCCTACCGCGAGAGGGAGGTCCTTTGTGTAAAACGTCATGGGAAAAGGCTGAACCATGTGGTCAAGGGACATAACTGCGAGAAAGAGAAGAAACCTCAAAGTCGAGAGTGGTGCGGTCCCCTGGCAACATGTAAACCACAGTGGTACATGACGGCCTGGTCTGAGGTTGGTCTTTTCTTTGAATTCGTATCTGTTAGTGTTATCTGTTCATTTTATCAACACTAACGTATGTGATCTGAAATTTTTGGGATCTCGGTTCCTCCAAAGGAAACTTTACAATGAGAAAACACACATTTCAGGAAGAAACCCAGACCCTCTCCTGGATTGGAACTATCCACATCGCTTGAATTTCGGTTCATATGAGTTTTAATTTGAAAGGAAGGTGTGAGCATGGATAAAAGGAAACAAAAATCAAAGTTCGAGAACACAGGAGATATTGTACAAGCGTCCAATCAGCTTCAGCTAAGTGACTTGAAAGTCTGAAAAGAAGTCTACTCTGAGAAGAGCAATCAGAATTTGAATAATGGGAAAGGGGAAAAGAATAAAGTATAGCATAATTATGGGTGAAGACTAGAACAGTGTGGCCGAAGGTTGGTGAAGGAAGAAAAAGCATGACGAAAGGACCCATTCGCAGAAAGAAAGAAATTGAAAAGAACTGATGATTACATGATGGTTACGCCTGTCCCCTTGTTGGATGTGAGGTTGGGTGTTATAAAAGGCCTTATTTCCCTTGTGTGTGGCCCCTGGTCTTGTATGGTGTTAAAGGTCATGCCAGAGAAAAACGGTGTGTTTGTAAAGGTAAAAGTACTCTTTATGTTTTAAAGATCTTTTCAAATGGTTAAACAGATAACTATTGTCTTGTGTCAACTCAATTGAAGCTCTACAAGCTTGATATCTCCTGCTACATTGACTTAATTCTCCAAGAGAAATAATAATATTATAATTCAGACTGTTAGGTGCATAGATGGCTGTCGTGTGCATTTTTTTCTACATCTGCCACTTGAATTCGAACTTGACGCGTGTATCATCAACATGATGTATCAACGTCACTTATGATGTATTATTTAATTAACTTAAGACTCCCTTCAAAAGCAATACCTCTGTTGAGAGACAGTGCACTTCTCGATTGTTCAGTCTTTTTAGTTCGAGAGTTAAGCGTAATCTGGTCACATCTCTTTTGGCGTTTCCAGTGCAGCAAGTCTTGTGGCACAGGGGTCAGAACGCGAGAGGCTAAGTGTCTGGACTCTACACTGACAGCCAGCCCTGACTGCGACAAATCCCACAAGCCCAACAGACGACAGTCATGTAACAAGCAACCCTGCCCAGATGGATTTGCAGAGTTCTCAGAGACGCCAGCGGCTTCTCAGAATGAGGCTTTACAAATGGATGGTTCGTCGGCTGCCAGCAAAGGTAAGCCTTCTCAATGGTTTTTGGGGCTAGGCATGACTTATCCTATGACTTATCGTTTACATCTTTACATTAAGTAATGTGCCAATCAAGGAGAAGTTCGGGTTGATTTATTCAACTTGAAATTGGAAGTTTGAGGCTCGCCAGTAGATGAGAGTTTCCACTTTTTTTTGTTGCATTATTTACTGTTCAACTATTAATAGTAAAACATTGCATGCAAAAGTCTGAACAAAAATTGTGCCTATAAGTATAAGCTCAATTTTATCCAATCCTCCTGACACTGACACTACTCCACCACCTTTGTTACTTTTCATACCAGCTATAACATTTCCTTGTCAAACCTTAATGAAGTTAATGAATGACGTCATTTGTACGTACTTTAACCCGCGATGCCCCCCCTCCCTCCCACCCCCTCTCTTTTGTTCCCCAGTTGATGACGTGAGTGAGTGCAGTGACCAGCAGAGCTCTAGTTGGTGCTACATGGCCAGCCAGGCACGACTCTGCACCATTCCATACTACAAGGATATGTGCTGTCTAACGTGCCGGAAAATGTTACCCAAGCCCCACTGATGCACTGTTGGCAGAAGTTAGCACATATTATTTGTAGACATGAATGTTTCTTTATAACGATTAGTTATAATTGTTGACTGCGCACCACATGACTGTTTCAGGGAGGAGTGCATTGATTGATAGTGATGTTGGCACGTACCGTGCAGGGCCTACTTGGCGTGGTTTGTGTCTGAGGGCAGAGGGGAACTGGACGCACAAAGGTACATGTATCTGGAACTTTGAATGGGGGGGGAGAGAAAATTACTGAGTAAGTGAAAATTATAACCATATCGACCTGACACGGAAATTAAATCATTTTAAAGAGTCATTCAATTTGAAGTGCATATGTGGTATGCATATTATGCCAAAAAATGTATTGCGCCCACCCCCATCCCCCTTTCCCCCACAAGCCTACTGTTTTATAAACCACGTGGGTTGAGCATCCTTCTGATCGTGAGTTTGGGATGCTGTCTTCTTTTATAATGTCCCAAAGCTGAAAGGCCAGACAATGGTCTTTGTTGAAGTTTATGCACATGCTCCCGGTAGCAGCATGGGGCTAATGTATAGTATATCTTTATGTCCGTATGAGATGCTGTTTGAAATTATGCTTCCTGTATGGAAGACTTAAGTCCCTATGCGTGAAGGATGGCTGTTGTTTGAGGCTGGATGACGGGTGGTATTATTCTAAAGGTGATGATTGCTTCAGGGGAGGACCAAAATGTTCATGACTTTGGTAACGACATCTGAAGTAGTCAAAACAATGACTAGGGACCGCGATAAGTACAAAGGTAATAATGATGAAACTACCTCGAAATGAAAAAGATGAGACTGAAGGGTGAGTTATCAATGGAGTGCTTTTCTGTACCTTACTTTGCTTCCACTGGCACTTTAGCGGGGGGGGG